TTTATGCTCACTCGAATCCCAATTGCACGCAGCCGACCGCAACATGTTGCACTGCATCAGCAAACTTTAGTTTCAAATGTGCTGCACTGTGAGAAATATTGTTGCTCTACTCGGGGAAAAAACCTTTAAGCTAAAGCTTAGAAATGTCTTTATTTTTTCGAAGTTCTTATGAACATAAGAAGTACTTAAAGATATTGTATATCAATTTGTATTTACTTTATAACAACATACTTAAAACTGGGTAATAAACGTTTGTAATACTGCAAAACTATAGTGAAGTTTTAGTAAAATATTAAATTAATGTAAATTAATTAATTAATTAAATCTCCTTTAACCAAAAAACATACAAAGATTGTTTAAAATCATGACTTTTTCTTTGCAGAAGCTTAACATTTTTTTTTTTCAAATAAGCTCATATTTGGCTCAGTGTTCAAATGGTATTGGCTGTTTTTAGGTGCCTATTTATTTCCTCTGACTTATGTGCACCATTTTTTTCAGTGCATTTGTAGTCCTGTAGGATATAAAAACCATTCTATATTACATTTTTTCTTCTGTTGAGAGTGACATAAAATCCAAGCTTTGACCCGATACCTTTACACTCAGCTCGCACAACAAAAGATGTGTGGGTGGAGAAGCGGTGGCAGGAAAAAGAGCTGACTTTAATGCAAATTGCCAGAGGCTCAATGCTTTCAGCCACCCACCCCCCGTACACAACCCCCTCCCCCCATGCTGCACCACCACCCAAAGGATCGCCCACAGTGAGTTGCCTCCTCATCAGCATCAACATCATCAGCGAGGTGGAGAACAGAAATTCTCATTACAAGCACAGTTTAATCTGTAGCCCAGGGGTTAGTGGGTAGGGAGGGGGAGGGGGAGTGTGAGTGGGTGGTGTGATGGGGTGGTTCGTAGGAGCGATGTGGTGCTAAAGTTGTTGCACGGAACGAGTCGAAACGAGTCAAATGTGTTAAGCTGGCTGTGAGTGACCCAGCTCCAGTATTTCATTCTTTTGCCGCCCCAACTGCAGTTAGTAGCCTATTTTCCCTAGCTTTCCACCCACTTTTCCTATATTTTCCAGACCTAAGCCCCGTCTTCCCCTCTCTTTAACTCACATTTCCCTTCACTTTTTTGCTTGGTGTTTATGTAAAAGCAGAAACATAACTCAACTCAACAAAAAAAAAACTGTAAAACGAGGAGTACGAATATAAATTCATTGTTTCGCACAATATGAACATGGGTCTCCTACAAACAACTGCAAACTGTTCCTTCCCTTTAAAAAAAACCCCCCTGTTTTCCACACTAGCCACTGCAATAAGGGCAACAGAACTGAATCTGTAACTCAATTGTAATGCAAGGTCTTACTCGCTCATCCGCATTCACCAACAATTTTCCACCTCCACCCCCGGATGCTTAATTTACATGTTTTCGGGTAACTTCATATAGAAAAGCTCCCTTGGCTCTTTGGCTTTACATGTTTTCCATAACGCCCACACCTTTCGACCCCCTCATTTTCCATGTTTTGACTGCTAGGCGCTTCTCATTTCATTATATTGTTTTTGCTTTGGATCGGCTTTTGTTGGTTTTTTTTTTTGGATAGAAAATGTCATGGAAATGACTTGCAATGATAACATAATGAGTTTCACTTGCCGTTTGACAGCGTGAGAGATATTAAAAAGTAATGCATATAATGTATTGGTTGGCCTGATAAAGTTAATTTTGAAAGTGGAGTTTTTTAATAAGGTGAAATCATGTAGTTTTTCCAATACCATTTTTTACCATTTAAAATTTAAAGGTTTATTTTAAAAGAATCTTGTTTGTCTTTTCTCAGTTTTAAAGCTATTTGCATGAAACGTCGAAACGTTCTTCTTTTCTTGATTATAATGAAAAAGGTCTATTATTTTATTTTCCAGTTCTTTAACATTAAAAACTATACTTTTTGTTATTTTCGTTAAAACAATTGTATAATCCGTTTATTAAAAAAAATGTAAGAAATGTAAATGCACCGATTGAAAATTGTATGGGGGCCTAAAAAACATCTTTTGGACAACGTGACTGCCGATTAAAGCCCCAAAAATCGCCTGAAATAGTCTTTCAAACTGTGTCAAAAATTGAGGAACTCAACTGTGTGAAATGGTATGCAAAGCGAAAATTGAAAGCAAGCCTCAAAAATGGTCTAAGTATGTTGCAGGCTGTTGGGGGCCATTGAAGTTGTTGATGCAGCCAGCACACATATGGAAAATAGAGTTGCTTGAGCGGTAGAGGAAAAACTGAGAAGCGGAAAATGGGCAATGTGAAGTGAAGGATTCGGAGGTGTTGCTGGAGCAGCAGGAAAATGGCAAAGCCAAGGAGATGCCACTGGCAGGCAGAGGGACGCCAGTTTGTTTTTGCCGTCTGCTTGCTGCTTTTCTGGATGCTTTTCCGGGGCTTTACACGCCGCACTCGGAACTACGGAAAAGCTACGCCCCCTGCCCCTTCCACACCCTCTTCTGACCATTACACATTACGTATAATCATCATTTTGTGCTGGCAATAAACACATGCTGTCTGCTCTCAGCAGCTTGGTTCACACCCCCTCCCCCTGGTTATCAGCCCATCCCCCCAACAAAGCCGCCCATGGACACTGGCACATAACAGGCATTTACAATTTCCAGTACTCTGCACCCTGAACACACATACTTTATAGCATGCGATATTTCTATTGCATGCAAAATGCAAAACTAACAAAAAATAGAGGTATTTGAAAAGGCAGAAGAAAATAATGGGGGTAGTAAACCAAATACGGCTTTCAAAATGCTCTAGAAGCCAAGAAACTATTTGCTTTGAAAATTAATTCTCAGGCTAACGAAGGGGTTTCGAATTTAATTTAAATTTAGCAACAATAGTAATTAGTGCAATATTATTAATTACACACATTGCATAGCATAAACAAAAAACTTTTGCCTTGAATTTAACTTTTTTTATATGTTTATCACCTTAGAATTTGCATTTCCACAATTGTTTTTATCGTAAATCACAAAATATTTGCCTAAATATTTAAAATATACCTCTATCCAATTTCACACAACCCCAAGGAAAAAAGAGTATTCAATTTCAATGCGGTTGCCATCGTATACCTTTTCATTGCCAAAATATGGCCGAAAGCTTATTGAATGTGTGTGCTTTGATTAAATTTAAAATGTTTGATATTACTATTTGCTGCCCGGTTTTCGAGGGGCAGTACCTCAGCCTCTGCAGGTTGGCAAGTTTAATAAGGCAGAAGTAAATACATTATGGGCAATGAATCGAAAGTCGGAACAGGGTTAGAGGGTCGAAATGCATACGGGCCACTTTAAATATTCCCCAGTTGATACTTATTCGGTGATGTGACGTTTTGTTACAGTGAACATATCACTTAAAATTTACAATAATAAATAAATAGCTACAAAACTATCTGTATGTAACATATAAATAATTTCACGTCGTAACCGAAGCTCATTCAATATTTATCAGGTAAAAACCTAGTAAAGTATTGACACTATGTCACACAGATTCTCTATTAGATAGCCTTTATTAATTTGCGCCACTTGACACAAACATTTAGCACCACTGTTTACTATTTTCGCCATAAATCGAACACTGCGCTTACATCATTCTAATCATAGTGGGTCGGGTCAGAGTCCCAATTCTGGACATTCTGGAGATCTGGGACAATGGCAAACACAGCGGGCAGCTTTCAATATTTGCGACAGAGACCGGGAATCTGGGAATCAGCCACCAGAACGAGGAGCCACTGTGCCAAAGATTCGCTCTCGGTCGGAATTTGTGTGTGTGCCAATCGACAACACCAGACAGGCAAACAAAAGAGGCCAAGGGATGGGAATATCCAAGGGGGAAGTCCATGGGGCGGTTGGAAAGGGGGTAGATTATCAAACGACAAATAGACAGAAATCCGGCAGTTGCAGCAGCATCGGCGACAGCCTGAAAGCAAACTTGGCCAAATCAACAACAATAGCAGCAACAAACAGCAGCAATAACAACAACAGCGACAACTACAACAGCAATACACAAGAGCCAAACAAATTCAAATCAAACTAAACAACAATAACAGCAACGGCAACGTATAATCATAGTTAGAACTGGCTGATACCCGTTGCAGGAATGGCCTATTTTAATTTTATTTGCTTTATTTCGTTGTTCTTTTATTTTGTTTACTTGTCGATGGTCAATTTAATTATATTTTTTGAATTAGCTCACACTAAATGGGTTCAACAAATCCAGATAACAATATTTTGAGACTTATATTAATGGGACAATTTGCAATTCCCTTAAGATTAGGCTTTTTATTTTAAACGGGTGGTATTTTTTACTTATTTAACTAATTTTAATTTTTTAATTTGAATTATTTTATTGTACTGTTCCATTGTAATGTCAGACTTGTTATAAAATTTAATTAGCACACTGTTAAGGGAAGAACACAGTTGATCAACAAAATTAAAAAAATTTGTTATTTAAAAGAAATTTCTAATCAAAAACGTAAGTATTTTAAAGCGAGGAATTTAAGGCGTATTTTGACCCGAAAAACGGTTACAAAAATCATAAAAATAATATATAAAATAATAATTATTTTTTTCCGTGTAGTCAACTCCCTTATCAGCCGATATACCCTCCAATTTATGAGTACCCCGCAAAAGAAGTCGCCGCAGAGCGTAAACTAGAACAAGCACCGGGCAACATGTACGCCAGCAACATGCAATGCTGCTAGCTCGTCGCGCATGTGGCAGCAGCAACACCAGCGACAGCAGCAACATGCAGCAGCAACATTGGGCGGCAGCAGCAATATACGGACAGCAGCAACACACAGCGGCAGCATGCACCACTCGAGCAGCGCAGTCGACGGCGACTGCATATGTAAAAACGCATACGACTGGTGTTCGCATGAGGGCTCTGCCGCTGCCGACGTCGGCGTCGGCGTCGCTGCCGCCGCGCTGCCCATGTTCCACGGGCGGTTGGCAACTTCATAAACACGGAGCGGATTCAGTCGTTTGGTAACTGTTGCATTCGGCACTTCGTTCGCTCGTTGCCCTCAGTCGCTTTTGAATTCCGTGTGGGTGGGCATAGCACAGCACATCGTTCGTCATTCGTCGTTCGGCTTTCTTGGGTTCGGCATTTCGTGATTCGGGTCGGAATCGTATTAACTAAACCTGCGTCCGTGTGCGTTAGGTTAGCCGGCCATTGAGCACTACCACAGCCGAAGGCAGCGCGTCCGTGTGTGTTTATCACAGTGGCATATTCTTCGATTAGCTAGCTGGCAGCAAACCCTACCGATCGGATATACCCCTCAAATAAATAGTAAAAATAATACCAACGAGTAAAATTGAAAATTGAAACAAAACATACACAATACACTCCCCAAAACACACTCTCACACACAACACACAAAAAATATAAACCACAGCCTCAGCGGCCGTAAAGTGCCACCAAAAAGTACTTACTTTTATGCATGAAAAGCTGAAGCAAGTGCAACCTAAAGCCGGAGTGACATCAAAAAATATATACATATAAAGAAAAACAAAAAAATAAACAGGGGATAACAGCACACACGCAGAGAGAGAAAATAAAGGAAGCCAAAGGAAGTCAGCAGCAAAATCATGTCACGGATCGTTTTTATATGTCTCGCAGCCATCTTAACAGGTAAGAATAAACAACAGCCAAGAGAAAAAGTAAAGCCAAAGTCCCGCTCATGAGATGATATCACGCGCTCGTTTAAGACCCGCTCAAATGTGTGAAAAAGCTTAGCTTACTTACGGCGAGATGCAAAGACATAAATATATATATCTATATATGAAAATAAGATGATGCCCCTAAAACGTGTTCTCACCTCAAGCTCAATGATAATATCATAGTTGAGCGGTAAACTTGATTGATGAGGCACGACATTATGCCTGGGGGCGGGGGAAAGTGTTGGCCATATGAAAGTGATGATTGAGTGAAAAGTTTCCTGTCATAATATCCATGAAATTGATAGTTATCCCTCTTTTTGGCGGTTGACCCCGTTTGGTCCATAATTCCGATTGCGCATGCTCAGAGTGTGACCGAAGCTGTGTTCAACCTGTGCCCGCGTCAAGTGTGACCTTTCTCGTATTGGGTACAGCTGGCTTTTGACATGCGCCAACACACACAGTTGAAAAGGTCAACCACACTTTGGTAACTCAGCATCTACCGGAGTGATTCGAACAGATTTGGGCTTGTCCCAAAGATCTTGGCCAGCAGCTGATTCACGGGTGGTAATTACTTGATTGGGTAGATGTTTTAATGGATTTTTATGGGGCTCTTTGTTTATACGTGAGCTGGTTTTACAGCTTTGTGTGCCTATAAAATGTTTGATTGATTTTATGGGGGTATTAGGCTATTTTATAGTTGGCTTTCCTTGGAATTTATATGGCATCATTTGTTTTTTCAACATTCAGCTTAAACGGAAATATACAAACCATGTTTTTCAATATTAAGTGATATTATTAATATTTCACGCTCTCAAAATATATACTTAAAAATTTTCTAAATTAGGTAAATTAAATTTATATTACATTTTCTTGTCTATAATTAGTCTTTAAAAAGACCTCCTTTTTTTAATTATTTAAAACAATACCTGTACTTGTGTTACCATGCATTCTTGAAATTAAGAAACAGCATCATCATCCACACTTGAGCATTACTTTCATCTCTTTGTACCGCGCACAAATGCGGAAATAAATTCTATGCTATCATCAAGGCCCAAAAAACGCTGTCAGTTCTATTTAATTAAAATCCTTCAATGTTTCAGTCCGTGCTTATTACTTTGTACCCTCTTATTACGCCTGCGAAGAGCGAGAACGATATATGGAGGGTTCGCTGGGGAACTGAGACAGATTTCTCATTAGCTGAAAAGAAGATGCTGGTTTATGCTAAAGCCTAACAACATTAACACAACACACGGCACTTTGAGCTGTTGCTTTTGCTTTTGCAGCTGTCTCATTACTGCCACAACCCCTCGGCAGTTGCCCTATAGAATCCGCCCCATGGAACCACCCACATGACGTGACTTTAAGACAGCACCATTTTATTCAGTCGCTAAGCCTGCACTGCAAACCTTTCAAAGGTTTACGAAAATGTAAATGCAAAAACTGCACACAAAAACCAAAAAATAAAGCAGGAAATCCACTGCAGGTTCAGCTTTTCTCCCTATCTCCCTCCGCCGTCCAGTTGCCGTCTTTTTCTAGCAGGGCTTTGCCACTTCACACTGAATACTTTTACATTTTTATAGGACTGACGCATCGCAGACATCGCATCAGTTGACTGTCTGCTGGCTGTTGTCTTGCAATTATAAATGTTTAATGCGGCTCTGGCCATGGGTTCCTGGACCTTTTTTTCAGTTGGGAATGGGCCGGAAATTCCACTAGCCGATCCAAAAGATACGCTAAAAAAAATAACAAAAATTCAAGGGATAAAAAACCAAGTTACAAATTATTTATGTAGTTTTTTAAGGGTAAACTTTGATCAGGGGAGGTACTCGTAGGATATCATAAACACATAATTCTCTCTTGGAAATTGTTTTATTTTTTGTTAAAAAATAAACTTTATTTGCCACACTCTACTATTTCTATAATTACACTGAGCAGAACTCACATAAAAATCACCCACAATTTCCTTTGCAAACTTCCCATTCCATTTTATGAATACCCTTTGTGCAAGGATATAAAAAAGGGACGAAGGAGACACGAGCTGCAACATGTGCAGCATGTAAATAAGTCATTGCATCCAAAAACCATTCACTGTAATTCAAATGGCCAAAAGGAACTCCAGTCGTGACGTATTTAGTTATGACTGCCTCATCTAGGGGCGAACAAAAAGCGATTCAGCATTTATGCATTTTAATGGCCACCAATTGAGGCATGTTCTATGCAATATTTGTATATATATGCCAGCTGGCAACAAAAAAGATCCAGGCATTGAATTAAATACGTGCAGTGTTTGCCCAGTTTGCTAGCTCTAAATGTGACTCAGCCAGTGACTGTTACTGCAAAACTGTGACTGCATCTATATCTCTTTTTTGGCAATCCAATCCTAGCCATTCCACCCCACCCATGACATACATAATTTTCAACTCTTTTTCTACCTATGGTAATTGCAATGGGAATCGCAGAGAAGGGCAAGCTCCTCCGTCTCTCATTCATATTCATAACATCGTTTCATTTTGGCTTTTTGCTTTGCTACCTGGTCAACAAAAAAGCGTTCGGGCGACCAACTGAAAATTTTGCAGTAACTGAAACGTTGCGAAAAAGGACTGACCAGAGGACACAAAAGCTTTATCGCGCTGGGGGCTTTAGTTTTCCGAGAGGTATTCCCTTAATGAAAAGCGGGAGTTTTCCTCAATTGAAGGTGAGGAAGGAAAAGGCGGTGAATTGCTAACGGGATTCTTTCAAATGCTTTTCTTCCGCTTTTTAATTGTTTGCTTGTACTGTAAGTCTCTAATCAATAAAAATTACAATCACAATTAAGGTGATTTTTTATTTATCACTGACTTAAATATAAATATTTCATTAGAAAAGGTTTTATCAAAATGTTCTTACCATGATAAAAAAATATTTTTATTTATATTCTGCTTTATATAGTGAGTATAATAGGAATATTAAAACTTCAATGCTTAAAGCCAAGTTTAAAACTCAATTGTCTGACAAACGATTTTATCCCCTTTCAAATTGATTTGTTCCCCAAAATAAGCTGTATCAATTTTCAATTCAATTTGAGCCTGTTCCCACATTCACACTTATATGTTGCAAAATAATCTATGGCGACAATTTTTATTTACAAATTTTGCAATTTGTGGCGAGAGACAAATAGAAATGCACAATTTCATGACTAATTTGCTGAAAAATGACTGAACAATGTCAACAACAACTTTTTGCATGCATCCTTTGTATATATATAAATGCGCTTATATTTGTGTGTGTGTTGTCTGTCTTATTGTGAGCGTGTGTGCGTGCCCAGGAAGTTGGCAATGCTTTGGGCCATGCTGGAATTTTCGGGCCAAAAAGAGATGGGAGAAGTGCGATATTGACAAAGCGTATGCCAGGCAAATTAAATATAATGGGGATCTACCCTATTTATTCTGCTCCTCTGCCGCTCGACAAAACAGTTGAAAAGACAATAAAGAAAGGAAAGCGGGAAAGCCGGGAAAAAGTTGCACAGCTTATGGAAAAGTTTCCCGCTTTTCGCTGCTGTTTTTCGGGCTGCAACTGCAAACAAGTGTGTGGGTCTCGAGCACAATGAAGCGAACTTTTGATCGATTCGGAGGCACTGAATTGTCTTTATGGGCACGTACCACGAGCGTGAAAACGTGGCCGAAATAAGAGGAGCCAACAAATTTTTAAATGGCCAAGGGAGGGAGTTCCAAAAAGGTCACTTTTAAGGTGCTTTGTGTTTAAAGAGACAAATTTATGAGGGATGGTGTCTTAAAATAGCTTTTCATGAACAAATTGTCTAATATAATGTCTTAGAATAATGTTAATTCAATTTAAACGAAATTAAATTTAAAAAAAAATTTTATATTTGTACAGTTGACTCATTAACTTAAGGGAATTTTTTATGAGTGAATCCCAACCTGTGCTTCCTTTAAAATATCTGAGCCCTTTATTTTCAGTGGTTATCAGCACGTTCCATTGTGAATTTTTTTTATTATTGAGTTAAAAACCACAGCTTACACAATCTATTTATAATGTCAAAGCTATTTATGTTCAAGCGTACAACTGCGATGATAATTTCAATTATTGTTTTTCTTCATTTGCAACGAAAATTATTTATTCTGCGACTGTTGGTGATTCATAAGCTTCGCCAGTTACTCATGCAGCTGGCGTACAAAAACAGTAATCGACTAATTTGACGTGAGTAGAACCTCGCTTGATTGACTTTCCCATATCCCCGCTCTCTCTTCCTATAGCTCTTTATGTTAGTCAATCTCGGGGAATTGTGTCAGGTTTGTTTGGCTATTACAAATTTTCATTGCTTCTTTTCATTTGCGCTCAATGCAGTTGGTTTTGATTTGGGTCACGATTCGGGCTATTGATAAGGGAAAAAGACACTGACAAAAATGTCACACTAATGGCGTACACAGATTGAATGTTTGATGGCCAAAAGATTTAAAAAAAATCTTCGGGAATTTAATCTGTTATTTTATACCACAATATAATTTAATGGAATACCTATTTTCTTTAGTAAAATATTTTATCTCATATTAGTTAAAAAACTGTTCTCAAAATTTCTATAAAAGTTGTCTATTATTTTTTTCTGTGTAAATCACCTGCAACAGTTTCACCTGCAATTTTAGTTGCATGATATACATCCAGAAGTTGCTCTGGTTCTGTTTTTGTTTGGGTTCCAGTCGCATGGGGGAAATGTAGACGATTAGATAAGGTTTATGTGGGATGTACCGCATTGATGGTGAAGGGAAATAAATAACGTGCTTCTTATCAGCTAACAAACACACGCACAAACTAAATGTTGATAATAGTTCTAAGAGTCTTATAGGGTCAGTATTGTATTGCAAGAAATACAAATGTGGCGAATACGATTCGAATCGCACAAATATATACACTGTTAAAAAGTCATGAAAATAATTTCAATGTGTTAATGATATTAAAATATATTTGTTCTTATCA